TACTATTATATTTATTATTCTAGTTTTACTTATTATTTTTATAAAGAAGAGAATATTTGAGGAGGAAATTAGAGGTATGGTTTGTACAAATTATGATTGGTTGTCGTGGACAGGGGGCCGTTCTTGCAGTTTCGAAGGCTATTTATTGTCCTTGGAGTACTTTTAACCTTTTTTCTTTCCCTTTTCAGACTCTAGGTTTTCGGTCGAAAATATAGTATCATGCATTTATTCATTCATTTATTTTACTATTTTATATATTTCTTAGTATTGGGCAGTAATAACGACAAAGCTAAAAGCAATGTGTGCCAATTATATTTTCTTTTCAAATTAATGACTACAATAGCATACATTTACAGTCAAACCCAGAAATAAGAAACCATTGTCAGTTCCAGAAAGTGCTATTTTGTATTATTTTTTAAATTTTTATCTTTAATTTAATTTCTTTTTAAAAGAGTTGTGTTTGGTCATCGTTTTTAGTAGGTTTTTTTTAGGGGTTTTGTTTGTTGTTTGTTAGGGTTAGCTGGCGCTGTTTGGATTTTATTTCCAGGGAGAGGGGGGGGGGGTTGTTTCATGGGTTTCGTTTTTTCTTTGTTTGTTGTTGGCTGTTTTGTTTTTGTTTTTTTGTTTTGGGTGGTTGGTTTTTTTCGGGAGGGGGGGGTAAGGTTCTCCACCCGTCTTGCTTGGTCTCTTTCAGTGATTGACGTTACATTCTGAGGCCCTGCCTCCTTCACAACCTTACAGTCTGTCAAGGCGCGTAGAGCCCATTCAATGACTTATGGCTGATGTTATTAGCCGTTGACAGAGACACCGTAGAAATGTCAGTGAGTCTAGTCAATTCCTCAGATTAACAGAGTTTTATCTGCTCAGTACCTAGTTTTGAGAAATTTGATGTAAAAAATTGTGAGTTTCACAACATCTCAAACTTTTAAAAAAATTCAGATATCAAGATATTCAAGGGATAATTCTTTAAATGTGTTGATAATGACTCCGAATAATATTACGACCTTGATAGAACACATAGAACATAATTTTGTTTCTGACCTCATGGTTTTAGTAACTCAAAAACGGCCCAAAAACGTCAAATAGAGCTTTGTAATTCTGAGGTAGCGTAATATTCTTCTGTATTGTCATCCAAGTTCCTTGCATCACAAACTTCCATATGTGATACAGCGTGGTGGAATCAGGCTCTCGTCAATTTTTGGGCATGTAGAGTTATCGGTATCATCTTAAAGCTTGTTCTCTTGTCTTCATTTTAATGAAATAAATATCCATTTATCTTGAATTCAAGTCGAGATATTTGCGAAAGAAGGAGGTAGGGGTCACCTGTTTTTAGAGGTAAAATTAGAGAGAAAATGGCCGCCAAAGATGAGTTATTTCCTTAGCTTAAGAGTCCGTGGTAACTGAAAATGTACATTTTTTGTGCCTTTAATCAACGTTTTTCAGAAACATTCACTCTAAAATGAGTTTTTTAATGGGCATGAAAGGTGTTG